TACTTGGTGTGACCCAGTAGGTAGACTGTGTGCCCGGAAACCTGACGTTTACAATATTAATACGATACACGAATCACGATCGGTCCTTGTGCACAGAAGTGGGCCAATATAGAATATAAGTTCATTTTTAATGTTACCATCAGATATCGATATTAAACGTCTCGGATATGCAAACTGCAGGTGTATATTTTTAAGTAGTTAATTATACTCGCACACACACACACACACACACACACACACACACACACACACACACACACACACACACACACACACCTAACCATAGAATTTTACAATACTATTAAACTGTATTTAAAAAAAAATCATAAGTGGTTTCCATACATTAAAAATTCAACTGATTTCAAAATTGTTATATGTGACCAGGAGTTACATAAGAGACTAAGTGTTCTAAAACTATACTTATAGCCTGCTTCATAATGTGCTATGTAAATTTAAAAAAAAAAAACGTTTGAATCCGTCTGATTGTTTCGGAGCATATCCAAGTCCAAAGAAAACTGGACTTGAATTTATATAGAATATAGATTTTTTTCTTTTTCTCTAAACACTATCTAGTATAAAAAGAGTAAAGAAATATTGAAGTACCCACCTATACAAAAAGTACTTTTAAAGATCGGAGATTGTGTCTGAATGATATTATTTCGAAGAAGTCATTTTTCAATTTTCTCTAAGCATGATGATCAACTACCTAGCGGAAGACAAAAATAGAATGCTGACGGAATATCAGCAAGGTTAACCAAACACCTCTCACTTATCAGAATTCATTTTATTTTTTAATGTGGTTTTAAATCAATGGGATTTTGTGAATTTTTCGTTGCTTTTCAGATTGATATCAAAATATACTACGACAATACCGAATCGTGATTGGGAAGGGGAAAAAAATCCTCACACCTATTCTTAATATCTCGTCCGGCTTCTTGAACTGATATTAATGAAACCTTATAAATAAAAATCATATACATAATAATATAAAGCAAAATAGGAAAGCTCGCTCTAAATGTATTTTAATAAAACACAAATTATAATTGCATGCACAATTTAATATGTACAGCTACTACGGATAATAAATAAATATTACCTATCTATTAATATTAACAATCGTAAATATTATGTACTGGTAACTCACTAATGGACAGAAGGACACAACAGAGGTATAAGTGGTGTTCTAAACAAACTTCTAGAAACCTAATATACGTCGTATATGTAATAATAATATACCTATTAATATGTTCAATTATTATAACGTTGTAAGGATCTATATACTTATATCGTGTGCAAACTTATTTAATCTTATTTTAATATCAAGAAAAGTACAGGTGGATGGACCAGAAGCGAATCATCTATGTCATGACACGAAATATGATTGCCAGAGTCGTCGGAAACGAAATATGGAAACCTAACGGTAAACCAAATTATTGTAAACATCATTCAAGAGCGAATAATAATATTATAAAACATGCGTATTGTCATTAAAACGGAATTATGGACCTATGAGGCTATGAACCACTTCAAACCGACACGTATCTTAAACTCGTGTCCAAGTCTTTTGTAAACATCATAATAAAATATTATATACCTGACTACTATAGTTGCTACAGCCTATATAACATAATATAATTAGATTGCGGACATTATTCAACCTCAGTAAATTAAAACCGTCATGTACTTATGTACAAATCAGTATGGACTACTAACAGATAGCACACAGCCCGCATTAAAAAAAGTAAAAACCCAAAACCGAGATTCGTTTGTACAATAGCTGAAATATTCCCGCTGAAAACATTTTAACCAACATTTTCTATTCAAATATTTAAACGCCAAATGTTCTTGTCGTCGTAACAAAAATAACCTAGCTGAAATTACATAAAAACCACATGGTCACCAGAGTCCATTAACTTTAAAGTTAATTCACATTCACATTCCCAGATAATATTATACACACAGACCTTCTTAAACGAAGTCGAAATTGATATATTCTCGTTAAACATATAACAAAAAAAAAAAAACACTAGAAATTCTATTACTGTGTGTCAGACGTCAGTCTCTTTTCGGATACCTACTCCAAAATAGTTTCAATTCTATATAATGTCTAGACAACCCGTATTTAGGTACTAATACTGCAGAGGTAAATGTATATTATTATTATTCGTTTATAGCTAGGCCAGTGAATCGATAATCGATAGTACAACAATCTTTGTTTCATTGTTATTTAGCAACGTTAATAAATTCACAATTGGCAATAACCAATAGGTATCTCGTTTTAACAATATTATCTGACTCAGAGGTACTCATAGTGGTACTTGTATTATTACACATCGTTAAATCCATCTGGTAACCTCTTGTATCACATATATGTACCTATATATATTACAATCTGATTACCTATCGTATTTTCCTTTCTATCCCACAACGACTTACAATCACGGAGACCAGATAACCGGCCTATTGTGGTCATTATGACATTTTCGTGGTGTGATATATTTCTATAGCTACCTATATTCAAACGCTTGTTGGACTGCTATTTCGATTAAATTATTTCGCTGCTACACTTTATGTCAGTGGTGTGCTCAGGTTTTTCGAATGGGGGGAAATTAGTTTTGATTACTCTCAGACCACGTAATACGATAGTAAATATACTTTTATTGCTTGATTATATATTTAACATGATAAAAATAAACCAAAGTGAGAAGTATGTCACCCTCACCCCTCACCATGAGCACGCCCCTGATGTACATATATTTATTTTGTATTTAGATACAGTAGCAATATTATAGTATGGTACTGTGGTGGTTATAATGCGTAAGTTAAATTTTTCAATCAGGCCTGTAGCTAGACAAATGATTTTAGGGAGGCAATAAAATGCATACCTATACTCAACCATAACATACCACTAGTTACATACAACACTTAATATTTTTTGTAAGGAGGGGGGGAGGTAAAGATCATGTTGCCCTCCGTAGCTAGGGACCTATTTTCAATACAGGTTATTATAATATATTAATATCACAATGTTATTAAATAATAAAATTATTATTTTAAGGATTTTTTTTAGTTTTAGTATTTCTACAAAAAATAAATAATTGGATGATTTAGAGAAGAAAATTATAATTAGTAAATACTAAAATAGTAAGCAATTTAATTTTACGCATATAACTACTCAATAATATAATATTATTAGGTACAAATAACCTAAAATCATAGAAAAACACATAAATTGACTGGCATGTAAATGTTCTGTACCTACGTCCTACATAATGTATGTAAACAAATCGTACATAATATTTATGAATTAAACATAATATTATTGCAATAAATTATTTGAACATTAAAATATATTAAATAAATAAACAAAATTTAAAATTTCTTTATTATAGCTGCAGTATCCAAAATATAAGGACTCAAGATAATTATTTTTTACCTTATCCTACATATAATGTCCATGTAACATTATATTGAAATTACTAATTGGAAAAAAAAATAATATAATATGATTTGTATTTAAATTTGTTTTTAAATCAATATATGACGTACCTATACTTATTACATTCCAAATACCCACATGTACCAAGTACCAACAGTTTATTTTAATTTTAAAATGCTAAATAATTTAGTAAACAATATTCCGTTGGTAATTATATGAATGCATCTACATATGTAGGTATACATTTTTAATATTAATTGTAAAATATATTATTCTCAATTCAGAAGTCATAAATATTTATATTACTAAAATGAGAATTTAGATTTGCATAGAAATTGTCAATGATAATATTATATTGCAAGAATAAGAGTAAAAAAGGATGTTATTAATTGTAAAGTTGGTCATAGTGATTAATATGCAACAATTAATTCAAATAAAAAAAAAGAATGAAAGTATGATGAAATGTTTAATTGTGTAATAAGATTAATAAATTGTAAGTTTCTTAAAAGTGTTTACCTACAGTTGTACCTACTGTACATGGGTATTTAAACCACAATTCAATAAATTTATAAATAAATTGTTGTTCAATACGTTTCACTACATAAATATATTATTTTTACTCTCAGTAGTTTCCTCATAATACCTATACTTTATTCACTTAATAACTTTTAACTAAACTATAATTGAAAAAATAAAATGTGTATTGAATAATTTATCTGTGTTTTTTAAAGTAGGTACCTACCTAAATATTGTTATTAATCATATTTTATACATAAAAAAGATGACTAATATTATATGGGAATATATTCATTAATTTCTGAATGATATTTAGTAACCATAGATGAATTTATTTAAATGTAAATGTGCGATTTGATGAACCAACAAAAATACATTTTTCAATTTAATAATATGAAAAAATGTTATTTAAAATGGAAATTATGGTTCATGATATTATTATGATTTAATTTCCAATTGATTTTCATCTTTCGAATATCCACCAACATAACTAATATTTTAATATGTATAGAGATGTGAGTGCTGTACATTTACCTGCAGGTAATTAGGCGTTTTTGATTGCATTTTATTAAAGGCGCAACACAACAGGGTTTTTTGTAAAAAATAATTTACCGGTAAAAAAATTGTTAACATTTACAGTAAATTATTTTTTACCTCTGCAAACACTGCTGTGTTGCCTCTCTAATCAAAGGAAATCGAAAACGCCTATCCCGAATTGCAAAGAGATATATTTTTTATCACTTGATAATAAATACTAATATAATAATTATTATACTAATCATATTTTCTATTTTATCAACACTGTATATTATAAGCACGGTTATCTACTCAGGTTGCGAAACGGCCTATCTAACTCCACTGTAATAACCAGCCAAGCGGCGTGATTGTGAACTACCAGCGCTAGTAGCTCTTGGCCCTCTAGTATCATAGTTTTCTAATAAAACATACATATGACGAGTGATTATTAATTAATTCAAGTTTTAAATTGTGCTTATTTTATATACAAGTCACAACTTATAAATATTGTAGAACTTTAGATATAAATATGGTGAAGTGTTGTGTTGTCTTTTGTACATCGGGGTACAAAAACAACAAAGAAAATGTGTCGAAATTTGCAGCTCCTCGCGATCCGGAATTACGCAAAAAATGGGCCAAAGCAATTCCCAGACAAAATTTTGTTTTAACTGATTCCACATATGTATGTGAAAAACATTTTAACGAATCAGATATAATACGGTATTGGCAGTCTGGTAGTGATCCTACAACAATTGTTAAGGTAAACAAATAAATAAATATATATAAATAATAACAATATTAGGTACATTTAGTTTTAGGTATACCTACTAGAGAAGTCTAGGACTTTTATACAACTACCTACATAAACATTAAACAATAAGTAGAACTTAGATATTAGGTATTTACTTTGATAATAATCTAGTATGTACCTACAAGGTGTATTTCAATGAAATTAATTCATTATAATTAATGACATTGTTAGTTGACACTAGTTTTTAATTTAATAGGAACATTATACCATACCTAGTACCTTAACAAACTACATATCTAAATCTGAAAACTATATTGTTTAGTTGAGTATATTATTTTCTTGAAGAAGTAATAATCATTTTAATTTTAGATTCCGTATAAAATACCTAAGTTGGTAAAAAATGCAGTTCCTTCAATATTCCCTGGACCAAAATATCTATCAAAAGAAATAAAAAAAAGAAAACCTCCTACTGTACGCCAGAATGCTTCTAATAGTGAGAAAAAACTAAAAATTCAAAATAATACTGAAGACTGTCAACAGCTGAATTGTGATTTAAATGAAAGTACATCACATATTTCAACTAATAATTTATATGATCAAATCCATTCTTTAGCTACAAGTGGTACTCTAACATCTTATATTCCTTGGCCTGAGACTTCAGGAATTTGCAAAGGATTTAATGCTGAAACAAGTCATTGTTTTTCTTCATTTTGTTCAGGAGTTTCCTTTTCAATTATTGAAAAATGTGTAAGTGTGAAAATTGACGGTACAATAACATTTGGTGTGTTTGGAAAAAAAATTGAAGAACAAAAACTTAACATCATTCCAGCAAAAAATGTTGAAGAATTTGTAAAAAATCTACAAGATTTTGAAAAAATCAATGTATGTCACGGTGGGCCACTTGTAGAAAATTTTCAAAAACATTCCACAGCATTATGTGTTGCTGATTGTACTGGAAGGCTACGACACATTGATTGCTGCCTCATAATTGAAAAAAATTTAAAATATTGTATTAAATGTCAAAAACTATGTAAATCATTAGCAATGTGGAAAAAAAGAAAAGAAAATGGTGCACAAGAACGCATATTTTTATGTCCTACCAAAAGACAACGTTTAAATAAATTGCAAAGAGACAAAATATGCTTAAAAAAAAAAGTTTTAAGGGCTAATAAAAAGCTTGAAAATTTAAGATTAGAATTACATGAAGTTAAAAATGGTATGGCAAAATATTCTGATAAATTGATTGAAAAAGAACTAACAAAAATAGAAGGGATGAATGAATCTCAAAAAACTCTTATCAGAGAGTGTTTTGCAGCTAGTAAAATAAAAAATAGCAGAAATCGAAGATATAGCGAAAACTGGTTATTGTTATGCCTTTTATTTAGTATTCGTTCCCCTGGTGCTTATAAATATTTGAGAGAGAGTCAATTGTTACCTTTACCCCATATGAAAACAGTACGTCAATTACTTTCCTCTTTAAAAACCACATGTGGTTTTGATAGTGAATTTTTAACTCTTTTGGGAAAGAAAGTACAGCATATGTCTTCTGTAGAAAAACACGGCGTTCTTATATTTGATGAAGTTAATTTACGCCAATCTTTACAAGTAAATACATCTAATTTATCGTACATTGGACTCGAAGATTATGGTGATGCAGATATATCAAAAAGTCATAAAGAATATGCAAATCACGCGCTTGTATTTATGTGGCAATCATTGGCCTCAAATTTCTCTCAAACTGTAGGAGTATTTGCTACTAAAGGCGAAGTAAAAGGTAAAAATAAAATAATTTAATAATCATTTTGTATTTTTAATTTTTTTGAAATATTTTAAGGTACTACTTTGGCTCAACTAGTCTTGAAAGCAATAACATTATTAGAAAAAAATGGCATTTTAGTTGATGGTATTATATGTGATGGAGCCACTACTAATAAAAAAATGTGGAAAGAACTAGGAGTTAATGGAACTCAAGATAAATTAAAACATTATTTTGAGCATCCATTGGACGAAAATCGAAAGATTTATGCATTTTCAGATTTTGTACATGTTTTTAAATGTGTGCGTAATCGTCTTTACAACAATACATCTTTAAGAGTAAGGATTTAAATTTTTTTTTGTGTGTATATTATTTATTAATCGTGTGTATGAAATGTTTGGTTATAGCTTCATCATGACAGTGACAGTGTATCATGGAGTTATTTTAAAGAAGTATACAAAAATGATATTCTACATCCTGCAAATTTGAGATTGATACCAAGGATAACACCCCAACATCTTCAACTCTCCTCTATGTCAAAAATGAGAGTACGCCTTTGTACACAAGTGAGATATGTTTTATTAATTTTTTTTCAGGTTAATACAACTACATCTTAACTGTGGTTTGCAGACCACATATTTTAAGTTTTTTTATTAAGGGACTTATTATTTCATACTAAACTTGAATTTCATTTGTTAAATACTTTAATTAATAATGATTGTTATTATTTTTTTCTAATGTAAAATACAGTAATTTTGTACTTAATCAGGTTTTCAGTATGAGTATGGCACAGGCATTAAGATTTTATATGAAAAAAGGTTGTTTGATGCTTAAAGGAGCTTCAGAAACTGCAAACTTTGTAGAATATTGGAATAATTTATTTGACAATTTTAACAGAATTCTACCTTGGCAAGGACTTAGGATTGGTGATGAAGGATTTGAAGTAGATACAAAATTGTTAAAATATTATTTTTATTGTTAATCCGGATTTATTGTTTATATTTTAGAAGTTCTATGATGCCATTAATTACTTAAATTCTTGGGAAAATGAAGTAATTGCTCATCACATAACACCAGAAGAGTTTTTAACACCTCAAACTGCACAGAGTCTCCGAGTAACATTACATTCTACAATAGACCTTTCGATGTATTTATTGGAAAAATGTGGTTTCGAATATGTTCTTACGGGGAAAATGTGCCAGGATCCGTTAGAAGTAAGGTAACTCCTGTTTAATTCTACAATTTATTTAATTTTTGTTTTTTTTTTTTAGAAATTTTTTGGTATTATTAGACAGGCGGCTGGTCCAAACGATCATCCCACTACACCCACCTTCTTACATTTGTACAAAATTCTTTCTGTATATTCGGTGCTAAAACCACCAAAGTATGGAAATTGTACAGTTGTAAATTCTGATTCACAAAAAATATCTTTAGCAGACATTCGAGATATATTTCATGAAAAGCCCTCAGAAAGATGGGAAAAAATTGAAAAATTAAAAACAAAACTAGATAGTCTTGTGGAAAACAATGAATGGGAAGCATGTGATGTTCTTCCTATTATTGATTCAGATGGTGAATCTAGTGTACAGGATTGCATAGTTTATTATGTTTGTGGGTATGTAACCAAGAAAATACTTAAACACAAAAAATGTAGCAAATGCATTGCGTTTTTAAATAACGGTGTTGTTACACACTCTGCAGGAGAACTCGTTGTTGCCAAATCTAGAGGTTTATTAGTTCATCCTAATGGATATTTGTTTGATTTTTTGAAATCTGTTGAACATTCTTTTGCTAAATATTGTGGCGATTTAGATGTATTTGAGAAAGTTATAAGTGACATAACGAAGAATATTAATTTTAAATTCTCATGTAGCATACACTTAGTAGAAGTTACTACCGAACTAATTGTATATTATGTTCAAATGAGAATGAGACAGTATAGCTACCAAGAAAATCTCAAGTGTAAAAAGTTATCCAGGGAAAAGAAAAAACAGTCTAAATTATGTAATACATGTGGGATTGGGTCACCAAAATGTATACTGGATAAATTAACAACAGAAACGTAACGCACCAAACTCTTTTATTGAACGACACATGAACAATTTAAATTACAATTACAACGACAACGAACAAGGACACACGTCTAACGTCTAAGCAACACTGATGACTAGCTCTTCCCCACCACCTTAGCTGTATCAGGAACCGACCCTCTCTCTAGTGGGCAACTCAACCCCACATCTTCCCCAGACTGAACAGCATCCGCCTCGGCTGCATCTTCTTCCTCATGATTGATTGTTGGACACCAGGGCTTCATGAAGTCAGTACCAGTGGATGTCTTGTTTGGTCCTTCACCGTCGCCTACTCTCCACACTTCAAAACGATTTGGGCCCCTTCTGCCGACGATACGATAGGGTCCCAGATATTTTCTTGCAAGCTTAGACATTGGTAGGAACTGTGTTCTACGGATAGCTACCAAATCACCTATACAATATGACTCAGATTCCTTCCTACGTTTGTTGAAGGTCTTGCGTTGCTCTTCTTGGGCCTTGGCAATTTGATCCTTGGCTCGCTGACGGTCCTCTTCTCGTTGACTTTCATACCAATGTATGTACTCTTCCTCTATAGCTTCCCTTAGTGACGCAAAGTCAGCATGACGCATCTCCACACCAAAAGTTAGCTTGAATGGAGTCATGCCTATAGACCTCTGCACTGATCCGTTTATTGCCATCTGCACTTTTCCCACTTGTCGATACCACTTTCCTGGTTGGTCGATACACATCTTGGCCAACACATTAATAATTATAGCATTGAGTCGTTCAACCTGTCCGTTTCCACGGGGCATGCCTGTGGTAATTAATATATGTCTAATATTCCGGTCTTTGCAATACTGCTCGAAATTGTTTGATGTGAACGCTGTTCCACGATCAGACACAATACGTTCAGGATTACCAAATGTCACCTCCAACTGTGACAAACGATCAATAACCTCCGACGCTGCAGTGCTCTTTGTAGGGAATAGCCAGCAAAATTTTGAGAACCCATCTATTACAGCCAATATATGCTTATACCCTTTTGACGTTGCCTCCATTGGTCCTAAAAAATCAAGGTGCCAGGTCATCAGCGGTGCATCTCCCTTATCAATAGGGTGAAGGAAACCTTCCTGCCTGCCTTGCTTTCTATTCATTAAGATACACGGGACACAATTTCTAATTACAGATTCAATTTTCCCCTTTAACCCAACAATTGAGTATTCACGACGTACTAACATTTCAGTTTTGGTGACTCCAAAATGGCCTACGTTATGGGCATTCCTAATAACCTCAGTCTGCATGTTCCTGGGAATCACTGGTAAGTCGTTACCATCACATACTTCGTGTAGAATGCCACTCTTGATTACATATTTCCCAGCCACTGGTGCATTCATGATAGTCCGAATATCAGGGTCGCCTTGTTGTGCGGCTACCAACCGTAACAGGAACTCACTTCTCTGGATGGACATGCACACTGGGTAACGACTCAAGGAATCCACATGGGGCATCCTTGAGCCGGACCTGTGTTCTATGGTATAATCGTACTCTGAGACCAGCAGTGCCCACCTGGCCACTCTGGTTGCTAAATCTTTTTTCTCCAAGGTTTTTGTAAACGCAGCGCAATCTGTCACGATTTTGAAGTGTATACCCAATAAATACACTCTAAACTTTTTCAACGCTTCTACGATCGCCAGTACCTCTAGTTCATAACTATGGTAGTTACGCTGTGCCTCAGTGGTTTTTCTACTCATGTAGCACACTGGATGCAACTTACCATCATTGCTATCCTTCTGCAGTAGCACCGCCCCAAATCCCCATTGACTTGCGTCAGTGTGTAACTCTGTCGCTTCAGCTTCCGGACTGTAGATTCGCAACACAGGGGCTTCTGTAAGACGGCGTTTCAACTCTACAAAGGCTGCTTCCTGTTCAACGCCAACTTGGAATACCACATCTTGTTTCAGCAGGTCACTCAGCGGTCGTGCCACATGGGCGTAACCGGATATGAACCGTCTAAAATAACCGGTGAGCCCTAAAAAGCTTTGCACCGCTTTGACGGTCTTAGGTATAGGGAAATGACGCACGGCTGAAAGTTTAACCTCGGAGGGACTGACAGCGTTATGCTGAATACGGTAACCGAGGTAATCAATAGTGCGCTTAAGAAATTGACACTTGGACCACTTAATGTCAAGACCATATTCAGCTGCAATCCCCATCACAGCTTCCAAGCGTGACACGCCCTCTTCCACGTTAGCCGCCACAACAACAAGGTCATCCATATATGCCAACAGGTAACCGGCTTTGATCATATCGCGAAATACGAAGTTTACATACCGTTGGAAGACCGGCGGCGATATGCACAGTCCAAATGGCGTACGCAGAAACTCGTATTGTCCACTAGGCGTCACAAACGATGTATATTTTATACTGTTCTCGTCCATCGGTACGTGAAAAAAACCATTCCGTAAATCCAACGTCGAAAATATAACAGCATCGCGCAACTGATCAACCTGCTCGTCGATGAGCGGCAGCGGATAACGGTCACGTACAATTTTTTTTAATCGTTGGCAAGAACTCCCTTTCGCCTACGTCTAGTTCCGGCACTTCAACATCAATGGCCATCATCTGTTGTACTTCACGAGCATCGACAACCTCCACGGCTTTCGGTCCCACCCTTAGCTCGGCACTGGTCTGGAACAACGTTCGACCTATAATCACATCATGTCCTATACTGTCGTCACTTACGGTATACACGGTGATGGGGTATGTTCGACCATCAATGTGCAACTCCGTGTCCAACATCTGTTCTGTAACAAAGTTTGCGCCTGCTGGTCCTCTTAGATGTAGTTGACACATCTTGCTGGTGACATTGACTAATTTCAGTCCAATCGAGTGCCGACAAATATTAATATCGCATCCTGTATCAATCAGAGCCATTGCTTCGCAGCCAGAAATCACTACTGGTTTCACTATACGATCGCTGTTACTGCCATAGTCAACCTGATACACGTTCGGCACGGTGTCACTCTTACCTGGACACTCGAATGATTTATGTCCAAAAGTGCGACATGAGAAACATTTTGGTCCCTTGTCAACGTCAGGACACTCTCTAGACTGGTGTCCACGATCTCCACAATTGAAACACCTAGTTACTCCTTCCACCGATAATCCTCCCGACGCGATCGTCGGCTTTGGTTTACCATCAGCAGTCACCCGAGGTACATTACCCGCTTGAGATCGGCTCCTAATCCGCTCGTACAATTCAATTTTTTTCTTGAACTCACCCAGCGTTGTCGCGCCATATAACACGTTTTTGTCCGCCGAAGTGTCGGGGACACCACAAATCACATAGTCGATGACCGACTCATCTTCAATATTGCCGTGCGCTGCTATTTCCCGCATTTTATATAAGTACTGTAGCAGTGTTTCATCGGCACGTTTCCAACGAGACGATAACTGTCGATGAACATCGGCCGTACTGAGCCGACAACGGAATTCATTTAGCAACTTGTCGCGTAACTCGGACCACGATCGCAAACCACTTTCGCCTCGTACAAAATCAAGGGCTGTGCCCTGAAGCAGTCGCTTGCCATATAAAAACTTATGCAGTTCTGACCAAGAACACAAATCTGCCAACTCTTCGAAATCCTCTACCCATTTCACAATACTACCACTATCGTCTCCGGTGAATGGACGTAATGAATCCTGTACATCTGCAAATGTAACGTTAACACTACGCCCGTTCAGCGAACGATCATCAACACGATCGCGGACACTCTCTTCCAGTCCTCGACTCGCTTGCACATTCCTTCGCGGTCGCGTCATTATCAGTAAACAATACTATCAGTTATCACACTACGGTATCAACAATACACTCGCGGTATAATCTGCGTAACCGAACTTGATAAAAGTGAGGTTAGGTTTAAACTCGAATCACGCACAAAAACACAACCATGCGATTATTTAAGTATAAAAATCGGAGCGCAATCCCGGACAGGCCCCCAAAAATGTGGGATTGGGTCACCAAAATGTATACTGGATAAATTAACAACAGAAACGTAACGCACCAAACTCTTTTATTGAACGACACATGAACAATTTAAATTACAATTACAACGACAACCATAGAGTAATAAAACTATAGAGGCGGCATTAGGCAGATATTATGATTATCAGATCGAAGCAAAATTGAACGCCATTGTACCCCTCTTACAACTCTAGTGAACACTAGATAGCGTTTTCGACCATGAAATTAAATAGATAATCGACATTATATTTTATTACTCTATGGTCTATGGTGATAACTGATAATAAATGATTAATGTTTGATTAGCATTAAAAATTATAATTTTAATTATAATTATAATTTTTAACTGTATTTTAAATTTTGTAAAATTGTAAGTAACGCGAGTCTAGCCTAAAATCATCATTTGTAAAATTTGTTCTTCTTATTTTAAAATTAATTTTTATTATTCCAAATAAAATAATGTGTTAGTATATTTACAACAATTTATTTTCCATATGATGGTTGCACTGCAAGTACCCCGTTTTCGCTTCACTTTTAGAATGATATGGCCACCCCTTGACGACAACGAACAAGGACACACGTCTAACGTCTAAGCAACACTGATGACTAGCTCTTCCCCACCACCTTAGCTGTATCAGGAACCGACCCTCTCTCTAGTGGGCAACTCAACCCCACATACATAATATTTTATTTCAAATAAACATTTAAAACAGGGTTTTTATTGCTTTTGCTGTTTGCTTGATGCTTTTATAGCTATAATATTATTATTCATTTCAATGAATTATTGATATTTTGTTACAGGTTAAAGGAATTTCTGTTGGATACCCAAAGAATCTAACACTTATTTTATATTTATTGTTATATCTCAATAAGCTTTTAGCACCTACATCCTACATACAGGGTGTAACAGGAAAACCTGACAAATAAAATAACTTTTGTTATACTCAATATTTTTTTTGTAATAATGTATAATTAATTGACTATTATTATATAATATAGCATTTTTTTTTTTTTTTTTTTTTTTAAAACTGAAAAAAATAAATGTTAAATCTGATGTAGGTACAATTTTTTTGAAAAAATCAAAATATCCAATTTGTAAATCAGGTATAATTAATCAATTTGTATATAATGATTAGTATATAACTGAAAAAAATAAATGTTAAATCTGATGTACAATTTTTTTGAAAAAATCAAAATATCCAATTTGTAAATCAGGTATAATTAGACAATTTGTATATAAGGATTAGTATATACTTTTTAAAAATATTTTATAAGAATTTTGAGTAAGTACATGTTAAAATCTAATTTATCACTTAAAATGTATTTACTTTTAAAATTAATGAGTTACTTAATAATTAAAAATATTGATTAGAACAAAAGTTACCTATTTAATTGTCAGGTCTTTCTGTTCCACCTTGTATAATATTATACAAGATTTTAAAATTTTTATGATGGTTTTATTCATTTATGGTTCTAAATTAGTTTTATATAAACTATAAAGACAATTGGTTCAAGTTTGGTTTGATCAATAAAACTGTAATAAAAAAAAAAATGTTTTCGTATTTTAAGAAATTACAATTGTATTAGTTTTTATTCAAATTAATTTTTGGGTACCTACTCAATACCTAAAATACCTATATAATTAATTATATTACTGAAAACCACTCTACCAAAAGGTAAGTATATAGTTCAAGTTCAATAGACACTAAAATAAATTTATGAAAATCAACTTACAAGTAACAAGTTACAGTAAGTAATAAAAATATAAATTATAATGACGTTGATCAATATTTTACGTATATTGTACGTGGTAAAATTCGTGATCGGTGCTCAGTAGACGGGCCAAGTACTACTAGCGCTATAGTTCACCAATACACCGTTTTGAGACGCGTTATCACGCCTCGTTTCGCAACCTGAGTAGATAACCGTGATTATAAGTAATAGTTAAAAGCATAGAGTAATAAAACTATAGAGGCGGCATTAGGCAGATATTATGATTATCAGATCGAAGCAAAATTGAACGCCATTGTACCCCTCTTACAACTCTAGTGAACACTAGATAGCGTTTTCGACCATGAAATTAAATAGATAATCGACATTATATTTTATTACTCTATGGTCTATGGTGATAACTGATAATAAATGATTAATGTTTGATTAGCATTAAAAATTATAATTTTAATTATAATTATAATTTTTAACTGTATTTTAAATTTTGTAAAATTGTAAGTAACGCGAGTCTAGCCTAAAATCATCATTTGTAAAATTTGTTCTTCTTATTTTAAAATTAATTTTTATTATTCCAAATAAAATAATGTGTTAGTATATTTACAACAATTTATTTTCCATATGATGGTTGCACTGCAAGTACCCCGTTTTCGCTTCACTTTTAGAATGATATGGCCACCCCTTGGTTAAAAGTAAATAAATATAAATGTTTTGACTTTTGAACATAAAAAATAAAGGAAATGCTGTGTTAATTTTGATTATTTAATTTTAATTATTTATTAATTGTATTATGAATAATTAAATACTCATAATATATTATAATATGTACTGATACGAAACAATAGATCCATTTTTAGTTCCTTATTGTTATTATTAGAATGAACTACATTTGTCAAGAGTACAACAATAGAAATAAACAATCGTATATTTTACAAACAAAAAATTGGAAAATTCTAATCTACCATTTTTACCACTTTATTATTGAATTTATCGATATTTTTTTAACTTAAATTCTCTATATCCAGGCAAAGTAACCTTGTTAGTTATTACCTATACCGATTGCAGCCTGTACATACTAATAGAAAATACCATTTTCAGTGGTTTTTAAAACTAAATAAATATCCCGATTGCGCCCGAAATGCCCGATACGTATTTACTATTTTGATATAAATATAAACAAAAATGTGTTATTACAAATTCAAATTGAAAAATTAAAAAACAAGGTAATATGTAATTTTGAGTTAGTAAAAATAATAAGTTATAAAAATCTACCTACGGCACTATAATTTAACTTTTTTTTTACTCCACTTTATTATATTGACTCGAATATTAAGTAATTTATATATTATTATTAAATGTTCCATAATAAAATTATTATCCTATTGTGAGGTATTATTGTACATAACATTTTTGTTTAGTTATAAGTATTTTAATTTTATTGCTCTGTTTATTTATAATTTCATATTTATTTAAATTATATATAAATTCGGCTACCTTAATTTGGGCAGAAATCAGGCTTCTCCGTGTTATTGTATTTTGAGTACAAATTTTGATTTTTGAGTAATCACTAAATATAAACCCTTTCGATGCAAGACAATACAGTCACGTGTTTTTAAGATCGATTGTTTGTTACCTACGTGTAAAAGTGGCTTAAATTTGTTGTCATCCAACATTAGATATAATTTATTATTTATAGATTTTTAACAACTTTTATGACTTTCATGATTCAGTGTCTAGTACCTAAATCCATCATGTTGTAGAAAACGACTGTGTTGTTATGTCCTCTAATAAGACTAAAAACGCTCCAAGGTCTAGAAAACCGATGGTTAAAATATTATTTAACGGAATGGACAAATTATACAGCGTGCTACTCCTCAATGTATTGATTATTTCTAAGCAATGGATGTGTCTTACTCTAAAGTTCTTAAAGTAATCAGAACATCATTATGGCACATTAAGTGTTTATCGTGCTTATAATAATATTATATCAAACTTAATTGGATTTATAAGTTAAATTAATAGAACCTATGTCCTTAGTTAATATTTCACAACTGTATGTTTTGTTATATTTTAAATGACTGTTTTATTTTTCTATAATTGTATTATTGTTTTTATAATACATATACTATAATTAGTGATTACAACTTAAATATTCTTGTAAAAGATGCAAAAATGTCATCGAAATTCCAATTTGTTTAAACCATGTTCATTGTAAAAAATAAACTATCGAAACAATATGAACTCTACGTGGTGAATTAATTATCTTCAGTAGACTACTGTGTAAAATACTTAGTGGGTTATTGAAGCAAATTTAATTAATTCAGTTTTAATATACTAAATAAACTTTGTTGGACAACAAGACGTGGTGATCAATATAACGAAGAAAGTTATATTACGGAAAGATCCACCTAACATAACAGTTTATGCAATTTCTGAGTTCTCGAACTAGCTAGGATTAGAAGTAAATATATGTAATAGCACATCATTATTATGTTGTTTTTATTATATGTTATACAATACAATATAATAGTGTATTGTTTTATTTTGTTCAAGATCACGAACTACCTATAATAATGACCTTATATAAATCTCCAGAAACTCGTAGAACTCTAAAATAATATAATTGAATTTTTAATTTATCAATACTATCTGCTGGTATAATATGGTTAAGTTATTATAATATAAATGTATAAGTTGATAAAAAATAAAACCCAATATCTATTGGATGGACATTTCTAAACAAAAAAATAACAAGTACCTTCCTTTTGAGCCCAGTAGGCCAATGAGTCAACTCTAGACCCAAAACTAGAATAACAGTTTTCAAATTTTCCATTGCCATCCAAGCCAACTGTTTCGAAATTGGCTTTTACACCACACAGTAATGCTGTAGCACATGCTGATGATTCACCGATTTGAGCGTTTAAATTGTAGGTCTGAAAAAAAAAATCAAACATCATTATTATACTATGGTAGGTTAAAAAAAATGCGCATAGGCGTAATCGGAAGATAAAGGGGATCAGTTTTCCCGCTGACGTTTGTCGGAGGGGGGGGGGGTTCAGGGATGATATCA